CCGGGCCGCTAACCGCGCGTTTCCCTACGCCGGGAGGCGTTACAATAGTTTACAACATTGTATAAAAATATTAAGCCTTATGCATTCTATTTAACAGGGCAAATGCGAATCTCATGATTACCCTAACATATCAACAGAGAGGTTGGCTCGTTGATATCTTCAGATTCAAACTGTGGGGAAATGGACACAAATATATGTGCTGCTAGACATTACCCTTCTTGCAATTGTCTACATACTATTTTTATGTCAATATTGATGTGAGAGATTGCTCTGATTCCGGGAGAATCAGGTGTAAATCTTAGGTTGTCAGCCAAAGCGCCAGTTTCATCCATAGGTTAAGTTAGAAATAAGTTAATTAGTAAGCACTGCTCCCTTCTTTGCCGCATAAGCCAAAGAGCTGCGGCGCACGTACTCCTAACATGTCAATAAACTCCCGGCTAGCCAGCGCTACTGATGGGACATGGAGGAAAATGACGTACGGATTGATGTTTTTTATTCCGTTGTTATATATATATATATATATAGAATAGTAGAGATATATAATATAAGATAGATATATATATATATATATATACCCTTCGTGAAGGAACTATTTATTAATAATTATAACATAATGAGTAAATTTTCTTTTGTTGTTTAGCTGTTGATATATATTTAAAATTTATTATAGATAATTTTTCCTTTTTTGCAAGGAAAAAAATTAGAAGTAATAATAGTTTCTAATTATTTAATTTTTTGAAAAATGTGGAATATTCATGAAAATAATATCTAGAATGTTTATTTTTATCAGTGTTGAATGATTTGGCTGGTTGTTCGCGCTTAAACCTTTGTTGGGGGGCATGCCCCCTAAGATTCATTGGACCCCACAATAATTGAGAAATTGAATTAAGATTAGTTTTATTTCTTGAAATGTGTTATTGAATATATTATATGATAATATTTATTGGGTTGATCCAGGAATTGATTTGTGAGAAATAGTTTTATTCTTGCTTTATTATTTGCGTGGAGAGTGATTTACATATATTGATTATCTAGAGGATATATTTACGTAGTAATTAATATTATACAATTACATTAATTACTACATAGACGTGAAATACAAGTGAATATAGTTGATTAGAAGTAAATTATTATTTTCATGAGATTATAATTGGTTTTGGTGAAATAAATAAATTATATTAGTTTGATTAATAAAATGATGAGGCTTTGAAATTAATAAGTGTAAACGAGGATTAGATACCCTATGATAAATTATGTAAATATTTGATATCAGGGTAGTAATAGTTATGATCTTGAAACCCAAAGAATTTGGAGGTGTTTTAGTCCTCTCAGAGGAATCTGTTCTGTAATTGATAATACATGATTTATGTTACTTGATTTTGTTATCAGTTTATACACCTTCATCAGTAAGATTATCTTGTTGGGAGTATAAAAGTTCATTATATTTGATTTATATTATGTCAGGTCAAGGTGTAGCTAATAATGAAGTAGAAATGGATTACAATGAAAATATTTATATGGATAATATTTTGAATAGTTTATTTGAAGGTGGATTTGATTGTAAATTAATATAAATTAATTAATTGATTAGGGCTCTAGATGGTGTACATATTGCCCGTCACCCTTGTTTTAAGATGAGATAAGTCGTAACATAGTAGATGCATGGGAAGGTGTATCTGAAATGGAAAAGTTGGGCTTGGCAGTAGAGCAATCCATTTACATTGGAGGGGTTTAGTGCAAATCAAATATTTTGATAACATGAATATTATTGTTGTTGTTAAATAAAAGTTATTTTATTATGTTTTTTTATTATTGTTTAGAAATTAAAGTAATTAATTATAGTTGAGTTTTACAGTGATGGAATTATGAAAGAATTGAAATGATTATTTGGGAGGAGAAGAATATTTGTACCTTTTGTTTCAGGGTTTATTAAAAACTATTAATTTATTTTATGTTCTCGAATTGGGAAGAGCTACTTATTTAAAATTTATATTGTTACATAAATATATTGAATAAGTAAATAGTAGTGAAATGTTATTCGTTTCTTAAGATATCTAGTTTCTCAAGGTAAAAATTTAATTTTGGTATTTAATTATGATATTCATATTGAATTATATACTTAATAACGGGAAATATTGTGTCGAATGCTTCTTGATGTTTCACTTGAAAAATCTTTCAGAGGTATAATTTTAAAATGACGGAGTATTCTGATGGTAACGAGCTTTCGATTTTGTATATAAGACCTGTATACCACACCTCATCAAAAGCTTGGGCGACATCAATGAAGGCGGCTGAACAGTATTTGTTTTCTTGCAAGCTTTTATTTATTTCATTTACTATTCTTTTGTACTTGTTCGATTGTGAAGTGAGATTTCTTGAATCCAAACTGATGACTAGGTATAAAATTAGTTTCATTTATGTGGACGTTTAAGCATTGTAAAAACAGTTTCTCAAAAGCCTTCAAGATTGTAAGTAAAAGTCTGATACAAAAGGTCTATATGATGAGACTTCGTATATGGGTTTATCGGGTTTTGGTATGGGAATACCTGAGCTACCTTCCATTGAGAAGGGGAATGCCCAGTTCTTAAAATAGCGTTGAATATTGATGTTATTAGTACGTTACGGTCTTCTTAGGTAATTTCTTCAGCACTTCGCCATTTATTAAGTTGTAACTTGGGGCATTGTATGATGGTAAGTTTTGTATTAATCTTTCTACTTTGCATGTTGTAAAAGTCTTCACAGACAGTGACATTTGTAAGGGCGTTTGGATATGTTTCTATTTCAAGTACTGCTTCTGAGTCAGTGGGTGGATATTGTTGGAACACTTTTGCAAGATGTTGCGTAAATGTTGTTGCCTCCTCTGTATTACTTCTTGCCAACAGACCATTATATTTGCGTACAGGAGTGATTGGTTGAATTGATCTTTTCAACCTTCTTGTTGCCTTCCGTAATGAATAATTTGATTATTTACAGGCGGATAGATTCTTAAGTTATTTATTTATTTATTTCAACATTCTTCAGTTCTTGAAGTGACAATCTTAAATCCTTTGTTGCTATGTTCAGATTTCTTTTGTCAAGTGGATGCCTTGTTTCTTGATAGATTATTTTTAATTTTTTTGACAAAGACTTTTTCTTTTATATATTTAGGATTTATTATTTGTAGTGTTAAAATTTGGAGTGGAATGCCATGCTGCATCTTGAATACATCTTGTTATGTCTGCGTCATCTACTTCATCTTTAGTCTTCAGTGGAATTTGAACCATTAGATTCTCTTCAATATACATCTGAAATTCTTCCGTCAGTTTTTGAATTGGTTAAGTTAACTTGCTCTTTTGTAGTAAAAGTATATGAACTAATTTTAATAACAGTGGGACTGTGATCTCAGCTGAAATCTAACAAGGCTTCAGTTTGTATGAAGTTGAAGGAAATGCCCTTCGCAATAAAGAAGTCTATAAGGTCAGGAATTTTGCATGTATCTGATAGCCAGTAAGTTGTCTGCCCTGTTGAATAGTATGATAGGTTCATGGATTCAGTTCCTCACCTCTAGTTGTATTTAACCTGGAACCCTACATTCCATGTTTTGCATTATAATCTCCGCCAACAATGTATCTCATTCCAAGGGATTTTAAAAAAATCTCAAAATCGTTCTCTTTCACTTTGTGCTTAGGCGGGTAATATATAGCAGATGTGCTCACGGGTCCATGTGAGTCGTTAATTTTGATTGTCATTTGATGGGAGATTAAAATTTTTGCATATATTCCATTATTTTGAATAAAAATACTAATTTTTTGGTGAATTTTCAGGTTGAGGTTATTGCGGTGGTAAAAAAAATAATCTATCCAGAACCTCAGTTTTATAAGGATTTTGAAGGAATTAAAAACTGATTCTTTCAGGTGTTGAGACTCTGCAATGAAGTAACAAAATAGTCCTTTGGTGGGAGTTTAAAAATGTTGCATATATTTTATTATTTCAATAAAAATAGTTATTTTTTGGTGAATTTTCAGCTTTATTGAGGTGGTTAAAAATAATGCGGTCTAGAACCTCAGTTTTATATACTACTCTTATGCTTAATAACTAATTTAAAAAAAATTGTATTTTTTACTAATATTTACTATTGTCTAAGAAAAACCCAACAATATTAATTCCAAAAAACCCAACAGAATAATACATTTTTTAATAAAATATGTTTTCTATATACATAGTTCTGGTAGAAGTTTTCAGCTGTTCTTCTTTCATGGATGTAGCGAACTATGAAGTACACTCCCACCACGAGTCCAACTCCATGGGTATAGGTTTATCCAGGCACAATTTAATCTGGAAAACGATTGCATAAAATTAATAACAATATAAAATATCATATTTAAAAAGTAAAAATATCCTTATAGCTATGCGTAACTTGGGTCGCGGAAACAAAAGGAAAAGTTCTAGTTTCTACTGAAATTAGTGTCTTTGGGCTTTTCATATCAGTCATGTACTCAATGGGTTCTTGATACCGAAAAATTGGTTGACGGCAAAACGTGTGTGTATACGTCCGTCTGTCCGTCCGTCCGCCTGTGGTCAACGCTAGCGCTTAAACCGTTCAGACAATTTTTTTCAGAATTCATCTTCTCTGACCGATCTGGCCGAACTCGAAGCCCTACGTGTTCGAAACAATATTTTTATTTTTGCAACGTGTTGCCTCAACATGTTCAAAATTTCCTCAAAAATCATTAGAAATTTTTGGAATAAATGTTTTACTCCGATAGAGTGAAGAACACTTAAAAACGGTAAAACACTAAAACTTTTCTTTTTGGATGAAATCACAAAATTGTTGAAAATTGGAAAAACCTTTTTGCGTAATTTTTGCAATTTACAACTAAAAAAAGCTCCATTATTTTGCTTTAATCCCCCCTCGGATATAGGAAAGGCCTCTTTAAAAATTACACAGGTTACTTTGAACACTGAATTTTCGAAAATTGCAAAAATTATAAATAATGTCAAAAAGCATGTACTGTTGTAGCTCCACAAGTTACTCTTTGTATTATTCTCAATATGCGAGACGACAGGGTTGTTAGTCTATGTTGCCCCATTACTTTGCGGTACCCAGTTGAGTTATTTCGTTGCTTTGTGGTGCGTGTACGGCAAAGTAAAACGTTCCAATCAATAAACAGTGGAGGGAAAAAGTACACGTTTCCATGCGTGAAAGCTGGAAAAATTGTTGTAATTCGATTTTACCATACAGTGCCTGCAATACTAATAAAATATTATTTCTATTTTACAGTTATTTTGTATTTGTCACAGTTTCGTGAAAATTCCTGTGTCCTAACTTCACTACATCAATGAAATTGTACGGTGCGACTATTTTATCAGTGTGCCGCAATCGCCGGAAATTCTGCTCAGCCGACGGGCCGCCATTCGCCGGACAAACGGTGCACTGAACAATCCTGGGTATATTGAGGACGAAAGAGTTTGAAGTGTCGCCTGCAAAAGGCATGTATTCCAGTTTTGTGGAATAATCGGTTTGTGATGGCTCGCTCGAAGTTCTCTCAAACAGAAAGTGTTTCGGTATGACATATACGTAAAAAGTGGCAAACCGTTATGAGCATCGTATTCTGGAGCAGTGTCGGAACTAGACAATTTGGGGCCAGGGGCAATGCTGAAGGGGCCGTACCCCCCCCCCCTCCTCGAAAAAATTAAAAATGTGAAAGTTGTATCAAGAAACTATACGAGCTATTTTATTTCAACGAATAACAAAAATTATGTTTAAGCTAGAAAACGTGTTTGGAAATATATTTCAAATAGGTAGCTTCAAATAAAGTGATCAAATAACACAATTTCAACGGTGATCTTCAAACACTAAAGAAATTGTGTTTAGTTGTTTTTTTTTAATAAAATCACCGTTTGATAATTACATGAAGATTAGATTAGATTTATTCAGTCAAAAAAAATTAAGAACTGTATGTGACGTAGGGGGGAAAAGCTTATCTGCGCACGTTTTCTTGAGTTCCAGAATCCCTTCCCATCATTTTAACTATAAATAGTTGAAAGATGAGTAAATGTTTAACTTAAATAAATAAAAAAAATAAAAATACGTTTTAAAAATCGTAAGATTAGCAGAATATTGAAAAATATTCATTTTCGTTTCTGATTTGCATCGGTACACGAATTGCAAGTATGATTATTCTGCATTGTTAACAAAACAGCAACTCGCTCTCACCTCTACTCTTACCATTACAAGTAAAAGGAGATTTCAACAAAACGTGCGCATAGTGAAGCTACATTTACGTCCATAAGCAAAACAACGGGTCATCTCAGCAGCATTTGCTCAATGGATCAGGGAAACTGGACAAAAACCTGATCGAGATGGGGGTCAATGACCCGGAAGCTGAAGAACATTATTTGTTACAAACATATTAAGTCTTTTAAAAAATTATACAATTCGAATGACTAATTCATTATACCACTGTTTTGTTAAAATAAACATTATTTTTCTTTTTGATAATTAGTATAGTCTCTAATTGTATAGAAACAGTTATGCATCAGAAAATATTTTACTTTTAACTTAAATTTGTGAACTGACTTCAATTGTTTAATGGCATCATGCAGTGCGTTGTAAAGTAACGCACATATATTGTATGTGGATTTCTGATAGTGAGCTGTTGATACCGACACTTGATGAACGTGATTTTTACATGTGTTGTAATTTTAAATATCAGTATTGGATGAAAATATGTCCCCACCGTTAAGTAAGTCACTTTTGACAAATATTACAGATTCGTAAATATATAGGCAAGGCAGTGGTAAGATTCCAAGCTCAATGAAGAGAGGCTTGCAAGGATGGCATTTTTTCATTATCCGAATAATTTTCTTTTGCAATCTAAAGGTCTGTGTACTACATGATGAATTTCCCCAGAATATTATACCATATCTCAGGCGGAAATGTACATTTGCAAAATACACACATCTCAAATCTTAACAAGAAGCTCAGCAAATCTTGCTATGCCCTATACACCCTCAGATCAAGCTCCAACATTCAGACACTTCGAACTATGTATTTTGCAAATGTGCACTCACACCTAAAATATGGAATAATATTCTGGGGAAATGCCCCTGAAAGCACTCGCACATTTATTATCCAAAAAAGAATATTGCGTACAATGACCAGCACTCATAAGCTGGAGTCTTGTAAACCTTTGTTTAATAAACTAAGGATTCTTCCTCTACCATGCATGTATATATTTGAAATAGTGGACTTCACAAAGAAAACTCTCATGGAAAACAAAGACACTTTTACTTTAAATTCTGATGTACACAACTACAACACCTGTCAAAAGGATAACCTACCTGTTCCCCAGTCTGAAACTACGCTTTATCAAAAAAGTACCATAATAGAGGACATTACACTTTACAACAAACTAGGTAATGATATTGAAGACATAAACACAATTGACACATTTAAAAGTAAATTGAAAGCTTTTCTGCTTAACAACATGTTCTACAGTGTAAAAGAATTTTCAAATTACATTTCCCTTAAAAAATATAAATAAATAAGAATTTCTTATCC